TATATTGATATTTGTGAATTTTTTTAGTCTCTAGTGAACAATAACGTGTGTTTATCTTTTTTTGGACAAATAGTATGCCCAGTAAGGCTATTTAATTATCAAACTAAACAGCTTGCACTATATATAATCACAATCATAAAAATTGGAATTCTCCACAAGTAAGAGTCATTTTTTTCGGTTTGCCACATCAAATTCGTAGACAATTAATTGCAAAAATTTACAAATTCATACAAAACTAAAATAGACTTTATCGGAAATACATTAATGCTGTTAATTTGGTACTATTTATTTTTCATCATTGGAACCCATGTTTCAAAAAACAGAATAATATGTACTTAAAAATTAATAAAGTTATCTGGGAGGGACAAGTTGAGTACACCAAATTAAACTAAAAAATTTTATTTGGAATTCCTTATATTGAATTTTATCCAACTCATTTCATATTTTTAGTCACAAAGTATTTTTATTCTCTCTACAAAATTTTGAGGTTGCAATTTTATGTTAATTTAAGAAAATATCTACATAAATATTTTAAAACTTTCAAAATTTTAGTTAGAAAGGGAAATTCAAACCTAATATATTATCAGGTTGTACATACACTTAATTACTTTAACTATTGAATATATTTGTATTTAAATACTGGAGTTCTAATATATTGTTATAAAACTTTGCAATTTTATTTATATGATTATTATTGGTTAAACGTAAGTTTGATATTAATAAATTCATATTTTTATCTTTTAATAATTGTTTTTATTTTGTTATTTTTATATAAATATATTTTTTATTTATTTGTTGTTCCTTGTTCAAAAAGGAATAGTCCATTCCCGGGGCTTATAATTGCATTTATTGTTTCATTTTATATATCCTTAGGTGGTTGAATGTGTTTAACAGATTATGAATTTCGCTCAACAGGTGGATATTATATCTTTTTGAAAGCAGACAATAAGAATACATAATTATTTAAACTTCCAGTGTTAAAATTTGTCCCCTTTACTTTCCACCACTAGAAATGGAAAACAAAAGAAAGTGTGCCACTATTTCAGTATTCTTGCTCCGTAACAAAACAAATCTACACTGGGGATATTGCAGCCTATCTTGAAGGCAAGCGAATCAGACCTGGCGGCAGGCGGCGGGGTCTCGAGTAGGTCTAATGAAAATCTGTTTTCATGGTCTGTCTAATGTGATAAGGCTTTATTTAAGTTTGTTTGCAATCTACTAACTCTCTTTCTTCCTCATTTACGTTTTTTCAGGTTTCAATCTCCTCGACTCTTGGCCGATATATCTATAACCTTCAATAATTAAACCAATGTAAGAGTTACATGTATTTTCTGGTGAATGGTCTGCAGTGTTATATTTTGGAACAAACCGAGGATTAAAGAAAACTCTAAAATTAACACCATTTGGGATTAATCATTATTTCACAAAAGAATGGAAAATAACTGGGACCGAAGGTGGATGGGAAGCCGCTTTGCCATCTTTTGCTATAAGGGTCGCCGTAAAAAATTGACCATACTTTCAATAATTATGTTATGCAGGATTAAACCAATTACAAGAAACAATACAAACACATCAGCTATACTTCCTCAAAATGTTATCAATGTAGAGGGAATTGTGTGAGTCCACCCGACATTCTAACATAAAGTCAGGATGTTAGTTTGTGTTATTTGTTGTTGACAATTGTAATGATTTAAATTGATCTAGACCAAGTCCTTCCAAAGCCGGCCAAAAGTTCGATAACGAATTTTAAATGGTACTATTCACCAATTGAAGGTTAACAGCGCTTGGATTCTTCAACACTTTATTCCTTCCTTCGAAAGGGGGCGAAAACACTATCTCTGGAGAGGGATCACTAGATAACTGCACACTAAAATGCAATTATTTATAACCAGGGTAAAAATCAGCAGCCTGGTGGAAAACTAAATTAAAAGAATTTGTAGACAAAAAATAGTTGAGAAACATGAATTTTCATTTAATTATTCAACAGTTTTATAATTATAACTGAAATATTTACAATGTGAACTACGTATAAAAGACTTAACTATGCAATTTATTCTGACTCTCCTGCATTTCAAGAACATATGAATGCTGCATTACAACATGATTATAAAGAAAAATGGACTCTTTATTTTTATAAGATTTGAAAAGCAGTCTTGCTCTATTGACAAGCGCATTAGCCCTTGTATTTTTTTGTCAATGGTTTGCGTCCTCACTTGGTCCCAATGACACTCTTGCATTTGTTTTTCAACCATACATCAATAATTATGTATATAATGCCTTTTTGCTGCCATGAAATTTAAACGCTTCAAGGGTTACAAAATACTGTTAAAAGTACAAAAACTTAGTCTTACGTTCATTAAGGTGGTCTGTCTGTAAAAAAAATTTGACAATATTTGAGATCTATTTTTTCCAAAAAACACCATTCACAATACAATGGATATAAATCTAGGTATTTTGGATGCAAGACATACATAGGACCCTTATAATTTCATCTTATTTGCGCTCGGTGGGGTTCTCTAATTTTCAATCTTTTTACAAAAAGTCTCAGGCAATGTTGAGAGAGAGATTTCTTCTATTAGCTTCATATTGTGCCCCACGGCACAATACCCCGCCTGCATACAGACTTTGCATGGGGTAAGGGCCACTAGGGTAGAACTCTCCTTAATCGCTAAGCCGCCCCAATCCACACAGGTTGAAACGCAGCTAGGTACGCTCTTCAATGATGGCCTAACACGGTCACGGAATTTGTCCGTGACAAACGGGTTACTTGGCAAATAGTCCAGTAATTTATTGCAACTCAGCTGCCACATCATAAAAATTGGATCTCACAAGTACAGAGTCATTTTTTCGGTTTGCCACATCATTCGTAGACACTTAATTGCAAAATTTTACAAATTCATACATTCAATCAATGCTGTTTTCCATTGGAACACCAAAATAGAAAAAAAAAGTGAAAGTTGAGACACCAAATGTATAATTATGCCTTATTTGAATTAATATCCAACTCATTAATTTTGCATCTTAAAATTGATTCAATTTAAAATCAAATACTCAATCTTGATTTTTTAATTTGTTATATGAATTATTGGATTTGATTTTATTATTTATTGTTTAAATATTTAGGTTTAGAGCCCATTTTTTCATTATTTTAATCAAAATTTCAACATTTGTTTACTTTTAGGATGCAATTGTAACAAATCTACAAGTTCAGGGTGTTGTAATTTACTTTTGGAGTGCAATTACACTCTAAAAGTAAATTATGGTGTAATTGCAACTAGGTTAATAAGTTTAAGGTGCTCAACGTATAAGGGTTGATTTAGAGTGAAATTGTAATTACTCGGAAAGTTCGAAGTAAAATTGAAGGTTAAGCCTTTAAAAAAAAAGAGATAACTACTAATTATAGTCCTTATGTTTTTATCAAATACACTAGTAAGTATGTCGATTTTCAAAATTATACTATTTAATCCCTGCATTATAATTATGTTATACTATTAGGCCTAACTGTTAGTTTTCTCATTAAGTGGTTGTGAAATATCAAAAACTCTCTTAAGAAGAAGGACTATACATGGAATAAATAATTTAAAATTATAAAAATTGAGGTCCTCATTAATGTACTTCACCAAACCATAAGAACTATATAGTAATTATATTTAGGATTACTTTTGACATTTCATGATTACTTAGCAGAAAAACTAATGGTTGGATCTTATAGTGTAATTGGATTGTAACGTAAGGACTAAATAGAATAATTTTAAAAACTAAGATCCATATTACATATTTGAACAAAATCTAAAGAATATATAGTAATTACCCCTAAAAAAATTCAACACAGTTGTATGTCTACTAAATATCTCACTAGTTAAATTACTCACACTATCCCAAAAAAAATAGTTCATTTTCCCTTTTTGGTTTGTCCCAAAATATAGTTCATTTGCATTTTAGTTAATCATGAAATCGTCTATTATTTCCTTTTTAAATTTTATATTATTTTCATAACCTTCATTAATTCTTACTTGTTAGTCCAATATAATAAATGCTCATGTGTTATTTAAGATGGATATAATAGAAAAGTTATATGAATAAAATTGTCCTTTAACCATAATAATTGCTGCTTTCTTAATCTATGTGAAAATAGAAAGTGAACTATATTTTTGGAACGAAGGGAGTATTATAATTTGAGGTAGATAGTATGTATGAAATAAAGGCTAATTTGGCCCATGAACTTGTTTAGGGAGACCAAAAAGATAAAATTTGACATTTTTTGTCATTTTAATTTTTGAATTTGTTTAAAATAATTAAAAAGATCATATTTAATATTTTGGTTCAATTTAATCCCTAAATTTATTTAAATTTTTCTGTAATTTAGCGAATTGAATTAATTTATGTACTAAAAATACACAGATCAAATTTTTCCGACGCTTCTAACTAGAAGTTTAAAATCTATAAAAACATAATTTCTTTTAACACAGTAAATTTAGCATACATATAGTACAACTTCAAATGTTCAATATGAGAAATGTATGGATTTTGTTTTTGAGAATTAGAAATGTACGGATTTCATGTACAATACCCGAGTAATAAAAATCAATTTAAAATATTCAATAATACATATATTTGAACTCAAAATTATTAGTCAAGATAAAAAAGAATATAATATATTTCATATATTGTTTTCCTACATTCCACATTTAATTAAATATTTTTAACAAATTATACAGTCTGATCCCGATTATAGTCTTAAATACCTATAAGTACATTGAAGAATCAGTTGCTAAATTGATCCGAAATATTGAATATAATCTTTTTAATTATTTTCAATAACTTGATAGGTTAAATCGATTCAAAATATTAAATCTCATTTTTTTAATGATTTTAAATAATTTTGAAAATTAAATTGACCCAAAACAAATTAATGGGCCACGGTTAGCAAGTATTGTACAGGCACAGCATTGTAGTTTGTCCTTGTTTGGATTGATGACTTTTTTCTATTTACTATTTATTTATTGTAAACCCTACAGCTCCTCCTCACCAATCACAATCGTCTCAACCCGGCCGCCCGTCTCTCTTCCCCAGTATTAGAACTGCAAAATCCCCTCTCTGTTACCATGTCACAATAAAACAGAATCTCTCTCAATTTCAAGTCTGGTCTCCTCTTCGGTCTTCAAATCTCTAAACCGAACCTTACGTGTAATTTATTCTCCTCTTTTTAATTTCATGTTTCTGTTTTGTTTCATTGCTTGAAACTCAGTGTTTGTTTCTGCAGAAAGTCCCACGAATAGGTCTATGATATACACAATATCATCTATCTGGTGTGGTTCCATTCCCAGAATCACACTGTATAGGTGGCAAAAGCAATTAGTTAAAAGCAATTTTAATTTGATCCTTGATAGAAATCGCTCACCATCTTTTGTGGAATTTAATATTTGATACTGTGAATTGTTCGTCTGTCAAACCGGATGGAATTGTTTCGATTTTCTCTAAATTATTCAATTAATACTTGAACTAGTTGCTTTTGCCCCCTACACCATGTGGCTTCTCGGTACCTTCCTAGGTGTAAAATTTTCAAGCTACCTTAATTAATGAGTTTGGTAGATTTGTTGAAGCTATGGACTTGTTCGATGAGATTGTTGCAAAAGGTATCAACCTGATACTTATACCTATTCTGTGATCTTTCTATGCAGAATTTCAGGTTCCTTTTTTCAGGTTCCCATTATGTTCTTTGACTGTCTGAAATTGTTTCTTTTTCTTAGTTTAATAATCTTATATGACGTCTAGAATTGGAGAACGCTATTTTACTTTTAGTTGTCAAAAGATTGAAATTGGTATTCATTATCTAATCAATATAGTTTATTGTGCCTATATGTATATATATTCATATGTTCGTTTTTTTGGCAGAGAATGGATTTGAACTTGTAATCTGATTACTGTTCATTTTTTTCTTATTAATCTATGGTTGTATACGTGTTTCTGACGAGGATTTCACAACAGAAAAGCAGAAAATCCTATGGAAAGAGTGCTTGCAGTTCCTCTTTTCGTGCATTCAATAGTAAAAATATTGGAAATGAGTAATCAAATTATTACTATGTTTATTTTCATAGGTAATGAAAGGAGTTTTTTTCAATAAGATTTTCTTATTGGATTTTCGCAGATTCCCATCACTGATAGAAAATGGTAACAGGTGCTTTTCTTCTACAGCATCAAATACCTATGATGGAGTAGCATTCTTTTGTTCATCTGTAGCATCACAGATTATTGAGCCAGGTAATATCATTATTACTTTTTTAGTAAAAAATGATTTATTATAAATTCAAAGTTCTCTTTGTTAATGGAAAAAAATTAAGGAAAAAGGATAAGCAACTCATTTTTTTTCACATGTAGCCTTGGGCTCTGGATTAACTAATCTTCAGGAATTTAATGAGGGGAAACAATATGCTTTTTCCCCAAATCAACATCATAGTTGTGAAAAGCGCACCTAAGGCACAGGTCCTTGAGCCTCAGGAGCAGAAAGGCTGGCGACCTTACTGAGGCACAGGCCTCTTGAAAAAAGCCCTCTCCTAGGAGTTTAGGTGCAAGGCACCAAAAAAAAAAAAAAAAAAAAAAAAAATGTTAATTGTTTTGCAATTAGGTATCTAGTTAATTTTTATAGGTTAGTTTTTTTGATTTAAATAAGAAAATATAATTTTATCATAAATATTGCGATTTTTTCGCAAGATTCCCATCACTGATAGAAAATGGTAAACGTGGCTTTTCTTCTACAGCATCAACATACCTTGATGGGTAGCGGCGGGATTCTTTTTGTTCATCTTTCGGTGGAAACCCTTAGATCACAGTGGTTTGAGCCAGGTAATATCATTATTATTTTTTAAGTAAAAAATGATTTATTATAAATTCAAAAGTTCTCTTTGTAATGGAAAAAAATTAAGGAAAAAGGATAAGCAAATCATTTTTTTTTTCACATGTAAGCCTTGGCTCTGGATTAACTAATCTTCAGGAATTTAATTGAGGGGAAACAATATGCTTTTTCCCCAAAATCAACAATCATAGTTGTGAAAAGCGTACCTAAGGCACAGGTCCTTGGAAGAAAACCTTACTTTATGGAGCATTTTAACATTGGCTGAGGCAGACCTTACTAAGAGGCACAAGGACCTCCCTATACTGATTTATAAGTTATATGCTTCTCTAAATAGGGTGAGATTCTAGTTTATGAAGGAAGGTGGTTTGCATTTAAGGACAAAGATTGCCAATTAAGGATAAATAAAAAAATAAAAAAAAAAAAAAAAAAAAAAAAAACGCACAGCTAAAGAAATAGAATATATTGGTAGATTTGCAGAAGGAAAAACGTAGCTCCACTTTGATTAACAAAAGAAAGCCCCCAATTAGATGATTTAAATTAGTTAAAGCCTTCACAAAAAAGTCTTCTCCTCCAATTTAGCAATTGATTAACATAAAAGAAAAATGTCCTTCAACTGTTTTCATTTTATTTCTCAAATTTTCTTCTCTCTCAATTTGATTCTATTGGGATTTTAATTGATCCCGAGTGGGGCCCACGGAAAAATACCGGTGGTAAAAGTAAAATAAAATTACTAATACTACATATATCTCCAATAATTTCGTATTGGATATTGACGATCGAATCCACTAGAAATAATAACCACGATAAAAATTAAATAATTACCGTAAATGTCAAAAATAAAATTGGGATAATCTACTTGGGTACATATTATCTTTACCATAAAAATTTCTGTATTTTTGGACTATTTATTAGAACATGAATCCGCTCGGATTTTTGATTGTGGTTCTAATTATGTCCACTAGTAAATAATATCTCTATTCGATAAAAATAACTTAACATAGGAATTTTACCCCAGCGGGGTTATATTCATTGGTGGTACAGAACCATTGGGTCCATTATGAAAAAACTTAAATTTAGAAAACAATAGTAGATTTAACGTGGTTCACAGGCCTCAACCATCTGGCCTCTATGGGCTACGTCCCACAGAACCAAAAACTCCTGAATAATTCTTTCAACTAAAAACAGTGACACTCTAAGTGTTTTTTCCAAAAACACTTTCCAAAAATTACAAATACCTCACACCTAATTTTATCTCTTTTCAATTTTAAGAACTTTCCTAAAATTTTCTTACACTTTAATTGTGTTTATGGGTCTTCTATTCCATTTCTTGTTTTTTTAATGCTCGGGGCGTTTAGGGCTTGAAGAAATCTTCTCCCTAATAATATATATTTGAGAAAGTGAAGTGAGCTTCGTGTGAATAAGTCATGAACCTGGCGTTTTGCGCAATTTAACGCATAACTTCATTTTCCATTTTGTAGGGGTGAGCCTATCCTGTGGTGAACTTTTAAACAACCATTGTGTTTTTTTCTCCTTTTTGGTGGGTCGTGTTTTTTTCTTCATTCAACGTGTGTGGGTTCCACATGTTCTATAGGAATTTTAAAGGAGAAACCCGGCACAAAACCAATTCTCCCCCTCCTGAACCATTAATGGTGGGACTTCCATTCGGTATGCCTTCGCGGTTTGGCCGTTCAAAGGGCCAATTAAAATTCAATTCAGTTCGAGGTAATACTTCTCCTTACAGGAACGAACCTTTTTGTTAAAATATTCAACCAAGTATCTTTCCTTTTTTGTCATGTAGAGCCTATTCGGCATAACCTGGGTGGTCTTACCTATTTGTCAAGCTCTGCGGGCTCTGGCTTTATATTCTTTGAAAGGGCCCACAAGTGGTATCAAAACTGAAAATGCCCAAAAATTTGGTAAATCAAAAAGGCTGATGGCCCCCAACTAGAAATTCAACAATTCGGTAGTATGAGTTCTTTCCCAGGTGTCCTTAGTTTCCTGGGTTAAGATACCAGTTGTTTGGGATTATAATTGATCTCGTAGTTCGGAGGCTCTGCGGAAAAAATACCAACAAGATGGTTTACCTCACTATTTTCTCTCTTTTCCAATTTTAAGAACCCTTTCCTAAAATTTTCTACACTTAATTGTGTATTCCTATTCCATTTGTTTTTGTGCGTTTAGGTTGAAGAAAACTTCTCCTATTTATAGGAGAAGTGAATGCGTTAATCAATGCGTTTGCGCAATTAACGCATCCATTTTCATTTTGTAGGTGAGCCTTCTTTGAACTTTTAAACAAAATGTGTTTTTCTCCTTTTTTTTTTCTTCATTCAAACGTGTGTGGGTTCCACATGTTGGAGGGATCCCACAACAATTCTCCCCCTCCTGACCATATGGTGGGACTCTCCATTCCTGCCGCTTTGACGCACAGTTCGAACTTCTCCTTCGGAACGACCTTTGTAAATATATCCCCAGTATTTCTTTCTGTGTATCCTATTTCTATTTTTTCGCTGCGTCTCTTAATTCTTTGAAAGGGCCCAACAAGTGGTATCAGAACTGATGCCCAAAAATTGGTATCAAAGCTGATGCCCAACAGATTCAACAATTGGTAGTCTTCCATTCTGCTTTAATACCAGTTGTTGGGATTATAATTGATCTCGAGTGGGGCTCGCGGAAAAATACCGATGGTTAAAGTAAAATAAAATTACTATTACTATATATACCTCTAATATTTCGTATTAGATATTGACGATCGAATCCACCAGAAATAATAATCACTGTAAAAAATTAAATAATTATCGTAAATACCATATGAAAAATAAGAACACCGAGATTTACATGATTCACCCTTCAACTGTTATGAGCTACGTCCACGGTATAAAAACACAAAAACATAGAATAGGAATACACAATTGAATGTAGAAAATTTTAGGAAAGTTTCTAGAATTGGGACAGAGAGAAAATAGTAAGGATTGTAATTTTTAGGGTTTTTTTTGTTAAACACTTAGAGTGCCACTATTTTTGTAATCTCTTTTGTAATAGTTGTGGGGTTCCTCCAACATGTGGGACCCATACACATTTGAAAAAGAAAAAGAAAATAAACACGTTTTTTGTTTATTTGGCAAAGAAAGAAAAAAAAAAGGAGAAGATTCAAACGTGTGGGTGAAGAAGAAAAAAAGGGAGAAAAAACACATTTTGTTTAAAAGTTCAAAGAAGGTTCACCTACAAAATGAAAATGGATGCATTAATTGCGCAAACGCATTGATTAACGCATTCACTTCTCCTATAAATAGGAGAAGTTTTCTTAAACCTAAACACACAAAAACAAATAGAATAGGAATATACAATTAAGTGTAGAAAATTTTAGGAAAGAGTTCCTAAAGTTGGGAAAGAGAGAATAGTGAGGATTGTAATTTTTGGGGTGTTTTAGAGAAACGCTCAGAGTGCCACTATTTTTGTAATCTCTTTTGTACCTACTATTTTTAGTGGAAAAATTATTCGGGGTTTTTGTCCTGTGGACGTAGCACATAATAGTTGAAGGGTGAACCACGTAAATCTCGGTGTCTTTATTTTTCATCTGGCATTTACGGTAATTATTGAATTTTTATCGCGGTTATTATTTTTGGTGGATTCGATCTGGAGGTATATGTGGTAGTAGTAATTTTATTTTACTTTTAGTATTTTTACGCGGGCCTCATTCTGAATCAGTTAAAATTCCAACAACTGGTATCAGAGTTGATGCCCAAAAACTGGTATCAGAGCTGATGTCCAACAGATTCAACAATCAACTTCTACTTCCTTCTCTCTCAAATCCAATAGCTTCAATTATAAGTTGTTGTGCTGCAAATTTTATGCTGATTTGTGTTGCTGAAATTTAGGCTAATGGTTATTACTTTTAGTTTAGGGCTGTTGAAGTTATGATTTATTTAAAGCCATGGTTATGATTCTCGACATCTTATTATGCATTACTTTTAATTATATTTAGATATTCCAAGTATTAAATAGTGTGATTTAAGATTTTATATGTTTTATATTATTAATATGAATTTTTTTTTGTTCAGTTTTAGAATTATTTTATATTTTTCCAAATTTTTATTTATTTTTGTGCCTTACCTCGCTCGGGCGCATGCCTTCGCCTTGTGCATTCCGCGTAGGCTCTAGGACCCTTTAGTGCACCTTGCGCCTTTAACAATTATGAGTAGACGTGTCTTTGACTCTCTCATTGCCATCTTGAGTGCTTAATATGTGCAAATTTGACAACTTTATATAGACACAATAGTTTCATTTGGAAGATTGAAGTATCACTTGGTTAAAATTGTAAATATATATAAGATAGAAGCTGGAAAATGAAAATTTTGATGAACATAATCACAAGTTTAATTTACTTCCCACATAATTAAAGCATCATTAAAAATTGAAATATAATTTAGTTTACATAATTAAAGCATCATTGAAGATTGAAATATAATTTAATATACATTATTAAAGCATCATTGTAAATTATATATGAGATTGAAGTTTTTTACATCAATTTGTTTTTCAATCTTTTATTTAGGAAAATTGCATGGAAAGTTTTAATTTGTGCTCATTTAACCTTCCAACCGTCTTTGATTATTGAAAATGTAGTTTAAATATCGCGCAATTTTTCAAATATTCGAGCGAATCCATAAGGATTACTTTCATTGTAGTCAATCTCAAAATTTTGTGTTCAGTTTCTATTCAAATTCTATTTTAATTAGCAATCAAATCACCTA